AGTTGTGTATCTTGATTTTTATTTTCTCGCACTGATAATCTCCTTGGCATTTAAAGATTTTGATTTTTAAAATTTGAGTCTTTTTAAAAACTAATTTTTTTCTATTGTTTTTAAAATCAGTGAATTCTGCCTGCCTATTTTGTCATCTCTTTAATGGCAGTAAGCGCTTATATTTTTCAATATGGTATATCAAGTCTCACTGAGTTTGCCAGCTATTACTTGATTTTTTTCTTCGAGTTCTCTTTTTTCTTCTCAGGAACTGTTTCAGTTAGTGTTTTTCACTGCCAGAAGAGAAAATGTGGAAGAAATTCCTCTTAGTGCTCCAATTGTTTGGTCTTTTTTTTTCCTGAGCTACTACATCCAGTGATATTTTTGCACACTTATTTTTATTGATGGCATTAGTAGTTGAGTTCTTAGAGAATAAACCAAGATTTTCTCACTGTTTTAAGTTAGAAGGAGGGGAAGTTCTGAGTTAATACAATTTTTCTTAGCTGACAATTTGGACATTATAATTTACTTATGGAAAGGAAAGACAGAACTCTTAAGCAGAGGAAGATAGCCATAGGTGTAGGAAGTATCATCTTCATTGAGGAATAATCATTTCCTCTTTGCATCTCTCTTGACAGCTGGTGCTAGCAACCGCCTACTCTGTCTGGCCTTTGGACCCAGTCTGAGGCTCTGGATTCATTCTCTTCCTCCTCATACCTCAGCCTGAGCTCTTGTCATCTAGAGGGTTCCATCGATCTCCCTCTCAAGCCCTCATTTTGTCTCCTAAGGTATGCTTAGGGGGATTGGAGGTATGGGGACAGAATGGGCAGAATTATACCACTTAACTTCCTTATCTAGGGCATAATAGATGTTCACTAAATACTGGTTGAATTAATGTCCCCTGAGGAGCCTTGGTAGCACAGTAGTTAAACACTTGGCTGTTATTTAAAAGGTCGATGATTTGAACCCACCAGCTGCTCCATGGGAAAAAGATGTGGCAGTCTGCTTCTATAAAGATTTACAGCCTTGGAAACCCTGTCCTACAAGGTAGCGATGAGTCGGAATAGACTCTATGGCAATGGAAATGTCCCCTAGTGAACTTTATTCTTAAAAGTGGTAGTTGGCAGTGGATTAGCATTTGTTTCCCTTCTGCCTGTACTGTTTCTGACCAAAACACCTTGTAGTATGTGCATAGAATGTTTCTCTAATTTCTGACTATTTTATAGAATTTTCTTTATTGGATTTTTTTGGTCGTTTCAGTGGACAAGGGAGAGGAAGGGAATTAGATCACTTAAGTTGCTATCTTTATGCTGGAAGCTCTCCAGTATACGTCAAAGAGCCAGTCATACTTCATACAAATACAATTGTTTATTTCAAGACTTGAAATGTCAGTTAAGTTTTATGAGGTGATAATACTTACATAAGGCAATAGTTTAATCACAGGTTTAAAAACAGTAATCCTTGTTGGTAGAGATTGAACTATATAGTTTAAAAAAAAAATAGCTAATAGGTCGGAGAACTTAAAGTCATGATAAAATTTTCTTTTCTTTCTTTTGTGTTATCTGAGATGTTCACAGCATGAAACATTTTTTTGCCCATAGATGGCAACCCTAGTTAATTTGTTGTTAGGTATCATCTTTGATTGCTCCTGCATGCTACAGGTTGAACATAGTTGGAGGAAAAGATAGATTCTTCAAACAAACTTAAAATTTGAGGCCAAATAACAAACCCATTTCCTGAGAACTGTGAAACCAAAACAAATTCATTTTAATTATGTCTAAGTAAGAGTAGACTTTGCATGAGAAGATGCAGGCATGCAGGTGAACTTTGTGGCATCAAGGCGTCGTACTTAATGATTTTCTATTCCTTGGCTATGTTCTTAGAAACTCTGGTAGCGTAGTGCCTAAGGCATTTGTTGCTAACCAGGAGGCTGGCAGTTCAAACCCACCAGCCACTCCTTGGAAGGAAGGTTGGGCAATCTACTTCTGTAGTGATACCGCCTCAGAAATTGAAGGAGGGATCACTATGAGTCAGATCTGACTCGACAGTGAGTTTGGTTTTGGTTTTGGTTTTGGTTTTGGCTGTGTTCTGGGTGGATGAAGTTGATGGATAATTCAGCTGTGAACAAGTAATGTATTAGTGTATATGTTTTGCCTCCTTCCTTAGATTATAAACTACCTAAGGAATATTGGGGACCATAACCATGTTTTTGAATCTTTCTAGAGCACCCATCAAAATATCTTGCATACATAGTAGGTGTTTAGTGATAATTGTTAGTTGATTCAGTTATTTTAAAATCATATATTTACACTGCATACCAGACTTTGGGATATGTGTTATTTCATAAGGAAAATTTTAATTGTGTACATGTTTTGAAATGGGATTGATGGTACTTAAAAATACTATAATATGTAATTTTCTAGTATTATACAGAAATATATTTTGGGACATATATGATATTACTGTAAGAAGCAATTTGCCTTTTAAAATGAAACCTATGATATAGTCTCTGATTGTATATCGTAACAGAAAGACTTAGGTATGGATAATCCAGATGACTACAATATGGTATTTTGGCAAATTGAGAAGAACCATTAATAGATGTGCCTAAAGTGTCTCACATGCTTGAGTCCCCCCCTCAGATTCTGGTGCACTGAAAAGCTCCATAGATGATTATGAAACCTGTCATTGTTGAGGGAGCAGTCTCTAGGGAATCTTCTCAATGGGTGAAGACTGTCTACCAGGAACCAATGGACTTTTTTCTAGCCACTTACTATTTTTCCTACTTTTGAAGAAAAAAGTTACACATTTAGCTTTATATAATGTTGTAAAAAATTTGAAGTCAAATTTTTCATTTTCCTTTTAACAGTTGTTAATGTTGTTGTTATGTGCCATTGAGTCGGCCCTGACTCATAGCGACCCCTCCTTGGGTTTCTGAGGCAGTATCACTACGGAAGTGGGATCGCCCAACCTTTCTTCCGAGGAGTGGCTGGTGGGTTTGAACCGCCAGCCTTCTGGTTAGCAGTCAAGTGCTTTAGCCACTATGCTACCAGAGCTCCTTTTAACAGTTAGTATATAGAAAAATCCAGTAAACGGATACTCTACTAATTAATTAATTATCAGTTTAGCATTTAGCAAATACATATATATATGAAGAATGTATATCTTAGACCCAGACAAAAGGATTAATTTTGAGAAATACTAGGCTTTCTTAATTTTTTAAATTTTGTTACTGTTGTGAATATACCCAGCAAAACATAGCAATTCAGCAGTGTCTACATGTTCAATTCAGTAATATAGATTACATTTTTTGAGTAGTGAAGCCATTCTCACCCTCTTTTTCTGAGTTGTTCTTCCCTTTAGACCTCTTACTATAAAGAAATTTAACTTAAAATGATATTCCCGTAATAATATCAACCATGATGATGTATAAAACAGTGAAGTTCCTAGGACTTAGATTAGTTGAAATTTGAAGCTGAGACCTCTGAGGGTATAAAATGCCAACTAACATTATGGATGGAGCCTAATGTGATTTACACTTTATTTTCTTTAAAACTGAAAAAACCCAAACTCACTGCCATCAAGTTGATCCTGACTCATAGCAACCCTTCCTTGGGTTTCTGAGGTGGTATCTCTATGGAAGTAGATTGCCCAACCTTCCTTCCAAGGAGTGACTGGTGGGTTTGAACTGCCAGCCTTCTGGTTAGCAATCACATGCCTTAGGCACCATTTTAGCTGTTCATATACATATTTAAGAGCATGAAAGTAAGAAAATACAGTTCTCCTAATACACAGTTTAATATTTTTATGGTTGTAGCCTCAGTGCTCAGATTCCAATCTTAGCAATATATTGTCCTATTTTACTACTTTGCTATCTTTTATTCGACAGTTAAAATCATAATGTCTCATATACAGTAGTCACACACAGTAATTAATAATGGTAGTTAGTGATTAACAGGGAACTTTATAGGATATTTCTACATATGTTTTCTCATTAAATCTCACAGCCCTGTGAAAGAAATGGGGAAAGTACTTATTTATTTATTTCCATTTTACAGATGAAGTAGCTAAAACTTAGAGATTGAGACTTGTCTGAAGTAACATAGCCAGTAAGTCCTTAAATTAATGGAGGTGGATAGTAATGGGTACATTCCCGTCCATCAAGATCTTGCCTTGCTGGCATCTGCTTGAATTTTTAGGGACAGAAAAACCAAATAGCCAAAATGGTAGAGAACCAGAAAGGTAGTATGCAGACTTTGGGTTTAATCCAGGAATATGTGCTATTATTTCTTCCTTTTTTCACCAGTGATAACTTCCTGAAAGAGTAGATACTGTCTTTTTGTTGCTGTTAGATTTATGAAATTTTTATTTTAAACGTTGATTATCCCTGAGGCACTAAGGAAATAGAAAATCTGAAGAGATGCCTATTGGTATTCTTGTAAGGTAATAGCTTTGGGATCAACTAAGCAAATGAGAAAGTTAGTTAATGGGAAATGAATAAACCACATGTGTATAAGTTTTTAGGGCTGCTTTGCTAACGTTTTAAAAATCCTGTTTAAAATTACTGTATCAATTTATTATAAAAATCTTAGACCTTGAATGTGTTTAGCCAGTTGTCATTTTCTTTAGTGAGGAATAAGAGGCACAGAGAAGTTAAAGCTTGCCCAGAGTCATAGAGCAGAATTGGAAGTAACCTCCTAGATTTTTATTTTTACTTTAAACTATTACTTCTTGATAAACTACTCTTTAAATACTTAATAAGTCATTTGTATCTCTTATTTATGTGTTTGGTTAATAGCCCTATTTTGTGTCAAATGAGCTTAAAGATAATTCACTGATAACTTTTGTGATGAAAATTTCAATTCTTTGTTTAATTTTAGGTGAGTTAATATGGGAAAAATCCTGGTATTTTGAAGATGTCTCATCACAGTATTGTTTCCTGTTTAAATTTCAAATAACTTCAAGACTTTTTCAGAAAAATAAGGAAGAAATTGGGATATTTTTGTTAAATCATGCCATCTGAACAGAAACAGTTGTTTCTTGATGAAAAACACACTACTGTACAAAAAGATTATGATGTGAAGAATGAGATAGTTGATACTGTAAGATCAGTACCTAAACCAAGCATTTCAGGAAGTAGATGTCATTATGAACTAAGAAATGTGAAAATTGATTTGCCGAAGATAAATATTCCAAATGAAGCCCTATTAAAACATGAACTTGAGAAATACAGAAAATTATTTCAGAATAAACCACAGACTGCAAGAAAATCTATTAGTTTAAAGACCATAAGCTGTGTTGAGGAGTGCATGTTGCTCTATAAGTCTGAGAAGACTGAAGAAGAGGGTGTAAAAATGTCTGCAAAAATACTCAATTTCAACTGTTCAAAATGCCGAGACAACACTCGATATAGCCCAAATGATTTGCAGAAACACTTCCAAATGTGGCACCATGGTGAATTACCTTCCTATCCTTGTGAAATGTGCAGTTTTTCAGCAAATGACTTCCAGGTATTTAAACAACACCGACGTACCCATAAAAGCACTTTAGTAAAATGTGACATTTGTAACAATGAGAATATGTATACTTTATTGGACTTGACAAAGCATTTCATATCTACACATTGTATTAATGGTAATTTTCAGTGTGAAAGGTGCAAATTCTCAACCCAGGATGTTGGCACGTTTGTTCAGCACATTCATAGACATAATGTAATTCATTATAAATGTGGTAAATGCCATCATGTCTGTTTTTCCAAAGGAGAGCTTCAGAAGCACCTTCATGTTCATTCTAGTACATATCCCTTCACTTGTCAGTATTGTAGGTATGGTGCCACTAGGAGAGAATACCTTATAAGACATATTTTAACTTTTCACAAAGAACATTTATATGCAAAAGAAAAACTGGAAAAAGACAAATATGAAAAAAAGGTGGCAAAGACTTCAGCAGGACTTAAGCTAATACTGAAAAGATACAAAGTAGGTGCATCAAGGAAGATATTCTGGAAGCGTAAGAAAATTAACAATGGAAGTGATGGAAGTATAGAAAACACCACAGAAGTACTTAAAAAAACGAAAGAAACACAGACTAAAGACCAGAGCTGTCTTGTTCAGGAACATTTAAATGAAAAAAAAGATGAAAGAGTACATCATGAGAAGAAGAATGAGAAACCCACTGAAATACAGTCAGAAAAGCCAACTCTTCAGTCCACTGCACAGTGTAATAGAGCTGAAGAGGGGTCAAAGTCTGCTTCTGGTTCCTTGAAGATGACTTCTATACAAGGACCTACAATGTTAATGGTGAAAAATAGTAAAATAACAGTCCCTGCTAACTACAGTGCTAAGTTTATGGGCTTCAAGATGGTGGATGGAAAACAACATATTGTAATAAAATTGTTGCCTGCCAATAAACAAAGTTTATATTCACCAAGCTCACAGTCAGATGCTTCTAAGGACAGTGCTACTAATTTGCAGCCTCAGACTTTGGATACCACTGGATTTTTATCTGTAGGCGTAGCACCAGCTGAGTTAAATGACCCCGTTTACATCAAAACAACTCCATTTTCATGTTCATCTCCTGTACTTTCAGGGAAAGTAACTTCACAAAAGGAAATGACTTTGTTATCTCAAATGAATAATACGCTTCACACAGTGGATGATGAAAAAAGTGTACCTTTTTTGCCAACAACATCAGAATTTGTTACAGGATCAGTGAATTTGACCACTAAAGTTGAAGCCAAGGCTAATGTCGCCTTATGGGGAAATCACATTACTCAGAGTCACTCTCAGGTATTAGGTACCACCTTTAAAAGTCCAGATAAAGTCACCTGTACTGTGAAACCAAGTGCATACAGCAGTGGAGATATGCATAACTATTGCATTAATTATATCAACTCTGAGTCACCTGTTGACTCTTCCAACCAAGGATCTTTACCTTTTCATAATTACTCAAAAGTGAATAATAAACATCATAGGTTTTTAGGAACAGCAGTGTATGAAAATCTTCAAAGAGAATCTTCATCAAGCAGAATAACGGTCCAACAACCAATAAGTAAATCGGTTATATCACTAGTGAAGAAGGAGAGCTCAAATCCAGATAGTCTATTAGCATCTGTTAGCCTTTTAAATACTAAATATGGAGCTATAAAAACACAGGCTGAAATTGAAAAACAGTGTGCTTTAGGAAAAGGACAAAACATTGATGGACAGAACCTGTACACTGATGAAAGTCAAAATTTAGAGAATGCGACTGAAAAACCTAAATGGGGTAACTTTTCTAATATCGATTCACCTATGATGCCTAGAATCACATCAGTTTTCTCTCTCCAGAGCCAACAGGCTTCGGAATTTTTGCCACCTGAGGTAAACCAGTTACTTCAAGATGTACTAAAAACAAAATCTGATATAAAACAAGATTCCAGTAACACTCCAGATAAAGGCCTACCACTGCATAGTGACCAGTCATTTCAAAAACACGAGAGAGACGAAAAAATAGTTGAATCCTCAAAAGACTTGAAAATGCAAGGTATCTTCTCAGTCCCATCTGGTAGTGTTGCTGTTAATGACCCTACACATGATCTGAATTTAAAATGTAATGGAAAACAAGTGCTATCAATGTCACAGAATGTGAGAGATTCAGAGAAGACACCTAGAATTTCAGGAATTGGCACATTACTTAAGACTCAGTCAGATGCAATAATAACACAGCAGCTGGTAAAAGACAAACTAAGAGCCACTACGCAAAATTTAAGTTCTTTGTATATACAGAATCCAGTTGTAAATTCAGAGCAAAAGAAAACTATATTTGTTCAGACTCCAAAAGGTCTTTTTGTACCATTGCACATTGCTAACAAGCCTGGATTACAGATTGTTTCAGGAAGACCTCTTTCATTCGTTAACACACAAGGTGTCCCTACTTCTCTTCTTTTAAACAAGAAACCTGGGATGATTTTAACTTTTAATAATGGGAAACTTGAAGGTGTTGCCAGTGTCAAAACTGAGAGTGCTCAATCTTGTGGTGGAACTACGACTAAGGAGCCTAGCAGAGCACCAATTTTAAAGGTAGAGCCAAGTAATAATTGTCTTACACCTGCACTTTGTTCCAGCATTGGCAGTTGTTTGAGCATGAAAAGTAGTTCAGAAAATAATTTGTCATTAAAAGGCCCTTACATTATTAAAACATCAGCAACTTCTCCAGTGAAAGCTGTTCCTGCCCCTACTCCTACTGTGCACTCTGAGCATCAGCACACGAAGTTGAATAGCTTGGATCCAGCCAAACAACAGAATGAAGTTTTTCCAAAACCACCTCTTTATACCCTCTTGCCTGATGGCAAACAAACTGTTTTTTTTAAGTGTGTGATGCCAAATAAAACTGAGCTGCTTAAGCCGAAAGTAGTCCAAAATAGTACTTACCATCAAAATACACAGCCAAAGAAACCTGAAGGAACACCACAAAAAATACTGCTGAAAATTTTTAACCCTGTTTTAAATGTGACTGCTGCTAATAATCTGTCAGGAAACCACTCTGCATCTTCATTGCAAAAAACTGATGGACCATCTACTCAGACTATGGAAGGAGGGCCCAAGGAGCCAGAGTCTTCTCGAGAGGCCTTACCTTTCTTACTGGACGATTTGATGCCAGCAAATGAAATTGTGATAACTTCTACGGCAGCATGCCCAGAATCTCCTGAGCAGCCAGTGTGTATCACTAACTGTTCAGATGCCAGGGTATTAAGGTCTGAAGTTGACTGTACAAATGAGAGAAGCTTCAGTAGCAAAAAGGCTTGCAAAAGAAATTTTTCAAGAATAAAAACTGATGTCAGAAGTAAAGATTCTGAAACTGCCTTTGCAACTAGAGAGAGAAACTGTAAACGAAAATGTAAGGATAATTACCAAGAACCTCCTAGAAAAAAAGCAACATTGCATAGAAAGTGTAAAGAAAAGGCTAAACCTAAAGATTTCTGTGAAACTTTTGGACCTAGGTTTTCAAAAGATTCTGTCAGAACTTTGCGCCTTTTCCCCTTTAGTTCCAAACAGCTTGTGAAATGTCCTAGGAGAAACCAACCAGTTGTAGTTTTGAATCATCCTGATGCAGATGCACCGGAAGTTGTAAATGTGATGAAAACTATTGCTAAATTCAATGGACGTGTGCTCAAGGTTTCATTGTCAAAAAGAACTATGAATGCCTTACTGAAACCAGTTTGTTGTGACCCTTCAAAAACAACTTATGATGAGTATTCCAAAAGGCACAAAATATTTAAACCTCTTAGTTCTGTGAAAGAAAGATTTGTGCTAAAATTAACACTCAAAAAGACAAGCAAAAACAATTACCAGATTGTGAAAACTACCTCTGAAAGTATTTTGAAGGCTAAGTTTAACTGTTGGTTTTGTGGTCGAGTGTTTGACAATCAGGATGCTTGGGCTGGTCATGGGCAGAGACATTTAATGGAAGCTACTCGAGATTGGAATATGTTAGAATAATTTAACATAATTACCAAGAAAGAGAAAAGTAAAATTATAGAAGAAGAAATCAGTAGGTTGAATGACCATAATGTAGACATTTTCTACTTCAACACAGTACCTAAAAGTAAACACTTTTAAAGTTGGTTGTATTTCAGTGACAGAAAAAAAGTTTTATGTGTGATAATTGGTAATGCTAACACATTCACGTAAATTTTGAAAGAAAATAATCACAGCACAGATGGACTTGATTTTTTTTTAATGTGTTCTTGGGAAGTTAGGGCTAAAGGAAACTTTTATAAAACAGTTTATTTTCCCAATTTATATTAAGAATATTTCTGATTCTTAGTAGAGGGTGACAGCTGACAGGCGCATTCCCTCTCTCACCAGCCTTATGAATCTGATAAGTATAGCTTCTCTGAAGGTGGAGGGAGCTTTCACCATGCAACTTGGAAGAGTTCTCATTTGTGCAGATATTTGAGAACTTGGAGAAAGAACTTTACGTCTGGTAAGGAGAGTTCTTAAGGGTATAGGCTCCTGTGAGAGTACATATGATTTACCCCAGTTACACCTCATATAATGCTTGTCAATTTTTGGCAAATTAACCCCCCCCCATAAATTATTCTTACTAAGCTGTGTCTCATGCCAGGCATTGGAACACCTTCCCAAGATGATTTTCTTACTCTTTGTAAATGGCTGTGTCAAGCACTATAGTAGATTGGCAATCTAAAGAGAATTAAAGTCTCTTGGTCTAGTTTAGAAAACAGTTAATTTGAACATTTCTTTGGATTTGATTATGTTCTTTTGTGATCCCATTGCAAAGAACTATGCTTACCTGCTTTAAATTGTTTCTCCCCCATAAACCAAATGGCCTTTTTTTGTCTAGGTTGTCATTTCTTTAAATAGCGCTGAGCATAAGAAGCACTTCCAAAGGAATGGGTTTTCATGAATATTGAAAATAACACTATAGAAACTATTTTTTGAAGCAAGATTAGCAAAACAAATCAGATTTTTTTTTTGTTTAATTACTTTTTGTATAGGAACATGACCAAAGTGGAACAAATCATTTTATTAGCAACTTTTCAGTATGACAGACAAAGCAGATTTTTACTAATTGTTGGTAGGTGAAAATGGGAGAGCATTAACAGTGGGTTCAGTAGAAGTGCATACAATTACCCAACAGAGTTAAATGTATGTTTTTGATGACGGCAAATCTGATTTAAACTTTTGACTTTGTAGATTTGGATCAAATTTTGTTGGATCATTGGAAAATTACATTCTTGTATTACAGAGTTACAGGCTAAATGATTTTTGTTACATTGTTACTATAAGTGTTATGACATTTTGGTTTAGATTAAAACTTCAGGGCTTCTTTTCTGTATATAATGAAGAATTTAAACCTGTACATATTTTTTGTACCTTTCAGTTTGTTATGTAAATTTTGCACAGAAAGATTTTGACATAAAAAGTTTATTTTCTTTCAGTTTAGTTCTGTGCATGCACTAATAAAACTGGTTGTTTAATTTAAAAGGAATATGTAAGACTTTACCCATTTTTTTTAATTTCAGATGTAGGATTCTTTTTCTTTGTAAATTCATTTTTCAGGGATTGAACACTATTGTTAGCAAGTGCCTAAAAGGTGTGAAACAGTTTACATATGTCAATTGTAAAAGTAGGTCCCAAGTGGGCCCATCCCCCAATAGTTTTATTTTTTAAAAAGCCATATGTAGATGCTTCAAGCTATCTTGCTATGCACATTATACTTGTACTGTTTTTGTGCAGTTTGTCTACTTTCTTAGTGAAGTATTTTTTGTATAAAATCTGTTACAATTGTGTTTTTTAAATTGAGCCTAAGAATGGAGCTGATTGGAAACATGCAGGTTATATTAATAATGTTACGGTGTTTAAAGAATGATAAGCATTGCTAATTTCTGTAATGAACCTTTTCTTCAATTAAATTTATCTGAAAGTTTGTTTTACTCAAGATTTTCTTCTGCAGTGCTAGAATCTAATGGTGATTTTATTCGAACAGAAAAAAGATTTCAAAGACTTTTTTTTTTTAAACGCTGGTGAACTACTAATAATAAAGCATGGAATTTTTTTTCCCCAGAAAAATAATATGTAAAATTTTTGAGAATAGTATTTGTCAAAATTTTACTATGGTGCGTGCAAGCTAAGCTATAGAGAGGCTTCAGTTACCCTAATATCAAGAAAATTGAAATGCACTTTTTTTAATGCACAGCTTTAATAAGCCATCACCTTCTGTGAATAGAGAAGATTGAGAATGAACGACTCTGTCAGTACATAACACAGTGTAAAATTCTGTCAGAAAAAAAGCAATCCATTAAGGAAAATCTTATGTTGAGATATATCCTCACATCTCTTGCTTTAAAGTTTTAAAAATTGTTTAAAATTAACTTTGTGAGTTACTCCAGCCAAGTCATTAAAATAAATAACAATAAGCCTGGAGTAGGAGAGAGAGGAAGATAATTGTTTTGAACAACAAAAGTTATGCAGTATACAAAGAAACAGGAAATTATGACCCATACTTACACTCACTGCTGTCGAGTCAAATCCAACTCATAGCGACCCCTCCTTGAGTTTCCAAAGAGATATCTCTACAGAAAGTAGATTGCCCAGTCTTTCTTCCGAGGAGTGGGTGATGGGTTTGAACTGCCAGCCTTCTGGTTAGCAGTCACATGCCTTAGGTACTACGCCATCAGAGCTCCCATGACCCATATAGGGGCAAGAGGACAATAGAAATTGCCAGGGGGCTCAAATGTAGAGTAAATGCCAAGCTATTATAAATTGATCCAAAGAAAGGAAATCAAGTTTAAAACATTAAAGAAAATTGATAATGCCTACTCAAGTAGAGACTTTATGAAAAAAGAACCAAATGAAAATCGTAAAGTTGGAAAAGTTCACTAGAGGTGCTCAACTATATGCGCTGTTAGAAGAAAGACTGCAGACTTGAGAAAGTAGATCCATAAAGATAATGCAATTTGAAGAATACAGAGAAAATGAAGATATGTGCAAAAAAAAAAAACCTTTCAAAATGGATTGTAGCTGGTAAGGGAACACCAAAATAAAATACAGAAGTATATTTTCATGGACTTAGATTAGGCAAAGCCTTTTTAGATATGATA